CGGACACACAGACAGATGCATGGATGGACGCATGAACGGACGCAGGGGCGGATGCATGAACGAACGCAGGGACGGGCGCACGAACAGACGCATGGACGGTCACACAGACGGACGCATGGACGGACGAATGCTTTGCCTGACTCTCCATCATTCACTCCGTGGATATGCTGCCATTTTTTTAAATTTTTGATGCATGCCTTACCTTCAGCGTGATCATGAGTGTGGGCATATGGTGGCCTACCATGGTGGGCACTATGGAGCCCACGATGCTCAAATCAGTGAATGGCCGTAAACTTGGGTATATGATGCAGTCATCTGAGTATATGGCACCATTTGCAGAGAACAATTTTTTGCTGACTTTGAGAATTCATTGTAAGTTCCCAGCCACGTACTGCACAATAATGTTTGGCTTGTGTGTTCTCAGATGCCACGACTACCAATTGGCAGCGTTTTTTGACCATGCTGAAAAAGTCTGGTAGGGCCCCTTTAAATTCTAATTTAACAAGAACACTTTGCACAAGTATACCTGATCCTAGAAATATCACAGTGGCCTTTGAAGTTGTGTCTATAGTTACATGTGATGGCTTTAGAAGCCGGATTTTTAGTTTAATTCCTACAAGAATTGAAATTTCCCAAAACAACGACACCGGTGACTATCTACGGCAAGAAGCAAAAAATTATATTGTTTAAGATAGCAGAAATGTACCAACGATTGAACTTAGGCATGCATTTCCTGAGCGATTCGCAGTATGTAGTCTTTCGTTTTGTTGTCTAGCATTGTGCATCGAGTGTCCAACATTCAATTAATCAGTTCCCCTCGAGAACTCTCCCCATTCGACATGAATCCTGATGGAATTTCTAACTTAATTCGTAATCTTAAATCTTCATCGGCTGGCTGTGACTGTATCACCACCAAGCTCTTGAAAAACACTGTCCATTATTCTAGCCTATTACTTTCTCTAATATTTTTGCAATCCTTAGAGCTGGGCAACGTTCCAGACGAGTGGAAAAAAGCTCAGATTATACCGTTCTTTAAGTCAGGCAACCGGTCAATCCCAGCTAATCACCGTCCAATTTCTTTAACGTGCATTTGTTCTAAACTATTTGAGCACATTATAGCATCTAGTCTCATGAGCCACCTTGAATCAATTAATTTCTTCCACCCACTTCAACACGGCTTTCGCAAACATTTTTCCTGTGATACCCAGCTCGCCGAATTTCTGCACGACTTAATTCCATGGATAATAACCTTCAGGCAGACGCCATTTTTCTGGATTTTGCAAAAGCCTTCGACCGCGTACCTCACAATCACCTGATTCGCAAGCTAACTTCTCTTGGTATTCCTCCGAATTTATTAAGCTGGATTAAGCACTTTTTGATGGGACGCATGCAGTTCACGTCAGCTAATAACTGTCAATCAGCATTTGCTAAGGTAACATCCGGCGTGCCGCAAGGTGCCGGTTTATCGCCCCTTCTGTTCCCCATCTACATTAATGACTTGCCGGCTAACATTAAATCTAATATCCGACTTTTCGCTGACGATTGCGTCATCTACACCGTCATCAATAGCCCTGCCGATGCTAATAAGCTACAACGCGACCTCGACTCAATTGCTTCATGGTGCAATAAATGGCTCATGCCCCTAAACATAGATAAGTGCAAATCATTATCATTTACCCGTAAGCGTGCCGTACTTGCCAACATATATTCTATTAACGCCGTGCCCATAGCTTCCGTATCATGCTACAAATATCTTGGCGTCCACTTGACTTCATCGCTATCCTGGATCACCCACATCGATTCCATCTGCTCTACAGCATCCCGTACACTCGGCTACCTTCGACGCAACCTGAAGTGCGCATCCTCCGACGTAAAAAAACTAGCTTTCATCACCTTCGTACGACCTAAACTTGAATATGCTTCAGCAATCTGGCATCCTTCACAAACCTACCTAACAACTAAATTCGAGTCCATCCAAAATCGCGCAGCTCGCTTCATATCTTCGCAATACTCACACAAAACCAGCGTTACCGAGCTAAAACACTCTCTTTCCCTTCCAACTCTTGAATGCCGCCGCTTGATCACTCGTCTATGCCTTCTGCACCGCTTCTACTATCATCCACGCTCAAGACATCAGTTGCTCCAATCTGCTCACAGAACTTCATCGCGCATAAATCACAGCAGGCCCATTGCACGCATAAATGGCCGGACGACAGCATTTATCACCTCATTTTTTCCTAATGCAATAGCCCTCTGGAATGCCTTACCGGATGACTCCGCTTCATGCGCCAACAGAGAAACGTTCCGCGCAAAACTGAACGAACATTTTTTCAAGCCGCTCTCCTGATAATCTCAACTACTTCGTGTTTATCGCCAATCGTTTTAGAATTGTACTTAGTTTTGCTCTGCAATTGCTTAACATATGTAAAGCATTGTGTATTCTTTTTTATCTTGTTCTAGTTCGTTCATGTGATTTCTGATTCCTGTCTCCTGTGTAAACTTATTTGCTTTTATTCATTTATTTATTTATTTACTTATCCTGTTGAACATTGTACCCTATCTTGTTACTTGTCCCCCCTTATGTAATGCCTTCGGGCCTTTAAGGGCAAAATAAATGAAATGAAACACTCTCCTGGGTCTCTTTCGTTTCATTGTGGTTGGGAAGGGCAGTGCAGGAGCAAATAACCAGACCACTGATACCCCAGAAGAGAGGGATGCTAGGTCTAATCGCGTAGGACCATCGTGCAGTACGCCGGAACGACACAATATCAATGGCGTACGTGCACAAGTAGGCTGGGGTACGCCATGCGCGCGTGACCTTGCTTACGCATGTTGTTCTTCATGCGTATGCATCATGTGACTCTTCAGCCCCGATACCAAAGAAAACAGGGAGGGAAGGAACAGGGAAGGAAGGCTACATGGAGCTAGAGGCAAGGGATTCAAGCTTGCCTCTTTGCATCATGCTTTGGTGGCTCCTAGCGAACCAATTAGAAAAATCACCGTGGTAGATTGCTTTTCATTGGGCACGCAAGAACTTCTAGTGTCTAACTACAACTTCTTATGTCACCTAAAGTGGGACGCTTAAAACTGAATTACAAGCAAACAAACAAAAATCCGCGTGCACATCACATTTTTTACCTGAAGGCGCTGCAGCATATGGGTTACAATGTCGAAGAAAACATGCTTTCATTGACACAACACACTTTGTTTTCTTTATAAGCCATTTCATTCTGTCATAAAACTAACAAAATTCAAATTAATAAGAAAATTATATCTGTTACGACATTTTAAAATCTTAATTACCATTGCACAAAGAGGACTGTTTAGGTACATTCATTTTCGAATGAGTTTTACCATGAAATGCTTGACATAGCAGCTTTAACCGCAGTTTTATTCAACGTGATGATAGTAATTCCCATCCTAGTTAATTTTTCATACTGTTACAGCTGTCATTCTTGAGTTATGGCTTAGGACAAACACTGAAGCCCTGTTCTGCATTTTGTTTTCATGTTTATCACTTAAAGACATATGACAAGGAATTTCATACGGAACAAGCGTATTCAAGCATACGGTTAATGTATACTAAATACATTGTTGATTGTAAACATGCCGACGCCTGTCTCAGGCTTCGATCTGTAAAGTATAACGATTTGGCGACCTTCACCACCATTCAATACAAGAGCATTCCATGAGTGGCCCTCCATGGTTTTTCATTCGTTCTCCAGCTACCCGCGGCTTCCCAGAAAAACCTGCTGTTCCTTTCTCACCGCAATGCCCAGGTTTTCAGGGCGGTTCTTCAGTTCCTTCAGGGCCACTGGACAGCTGTCTGTAGAAGGCGGTCGCCGTATCCTCGGCCATAGGCGTCACTTTTATTTTCTTACCCCATCTTTAATTCTCTCTCCTCCTTCCCCTGCAGACGCTGAGGCGTGCTTCTACTTAGGGCTGCAGAAATAGTGTCTTCTGCACTCCTCATGCTCCTCCTCCAATCGCTTGCAGCATGTTAGCTTTGTCTTCGTTGAACATTATAGCGTTTGGAAATATCAATGTTGCCTTTTTTACATAAATAACAGTTTCACACCACGCTAGAAAACAAAATTTGGGCTAGGATAGTGCTCATTTAGGCACTTATGAACATTTAGGCATAAACACCCAAAACAGGCATTCATAGGCACAATAAAAACACCATAAAAGCCCTTATTAACCTCCAATTCATGCTCATATATCAATATGGCACGATAGGAATAAAAGGAACAAAATAGGCATTTGCTATATTCCAGTCTTTACTTATAACTCTGTAGCACACGGTAAAGCCATTTACATGTGTGTGAGACTTTAAGCACAAAATGTGATTTTATCACCAGTGCTCTCGACATAGAAAAAATCACTGAACTATGAACAAATTTACTTTTTAATTTTAATGGTGCCTACAGAAACAAGACAGACTACTGTAGTAAAAGGAATTCTTTGGCAGCTTAGTCCCACTGGAAAATATTTGAACACAACTTAAATTTTCACCCTTTACTCTGGATATTTTTGCTAAAAAATTGGGAGCATTTAAGAAGCTGTTCAAGGTTAGTCTCATTCGGTAAAAAGCTCGGCAACTGTAGAAGCGTATACCCACAGTAGCCAACGTAAAGAAGCACATTTCTTTTGGAAAATAAATGTGATAACGAGCACTAGAGTACTGAAGGGAGAACTTTCTAATAACAATAACTTGCCGAGAATTTAAGCAACAGTGCAACAGCTACATTTCAAAACTGTCATTGGACAGCTTGCCTCACTTCCTAATGAATACATCCACAACTAAACTAAAAAGGCATGAGACTTCAGGCTACCAAAAAATGTTAATGTCGGTATACTTTTATGCATTACAGTTCTGAACTAGTAATGAGTGCGTTACAAAGTTACCAAAAAAGTAACACCGTTACTTGCAATGAATTACCAACTGCTAAATGAACAAGCCAAACTTAGTGTAGGTGGTTAAAAAAGACTTTACACACCAACGCATGGTTTTCTCCATCTGGGCTGCCCGTGCTCGAGCTTCTTCCAATTCTCGTAGCCGAAGCTCCTCTTTGGCTTCCCACTCTGAATCATATGAGCGATATGAAGCATCCCGCTTCACATGTGATGACATGGTTTTATCTGGAATTCACTCTGGCCAGTTGTTGCCTGCATCACCAAGAACCATTGCATGCACTATAGGCATCCACGATCCACGTAGGTTGCAAGAAATGTCAATTTATGATTTAAGCTCAGCATATCAAGATGCATGACATAGAACGTTTTGAACACTATGGAGCAAATTATGCATGCCTTAAAATATTCAAGCAGCTTTTTGTGGGAATAAAATCATTTCCTGGCATCTTGAATAGTTGCAGGTGCTCACTTGCTCTGCATGTAAAGTGATTGATTTGATTGATATGTGGAGTTTAACGTCCCAAAACCACCATATGATTATGAGAGACACCGTAGTGGAGGGCTCCGGAAATTTCGACCACCTGGGGTTGTTTAACGTGCACCCAAATCTGAGCACACGGGCCTACAACATTTCCGCCTCCATCGGAAATGCAGCCGCCGCAGCCGGGATTCGATTCCGCATCCTGCGGATCAACAGCCGAGTACCTTAGCCACTAGACCACCGCGGCGGGGCTGCATGTAAAGTGACCATGTCTTGAAAACTTGATGATGTCATTCTACTCTGGAAGAAATAAGGCTCAGATCAGCTTTTCTTAATATGTAGCGGTAATAAGGGCTAGTATTAGGCAGCTGCTGCGATAATGATTTCGTTCAGGGATCGGCAAGTGACATTTAGACTCTCTTATAGTGAACTGCGCAACGACAGGACAAGAAAGCTGACACGAGCGCAGTGCATGTTAGTTCACCCCACGTTCAGATGTACCAACAAGACCAGCTTTTCACTGAACTGCACGTATGACTTTTTTTTTTTTAATTTAGAAACAACGCACATATGCGGTCGACATTTTGCTCACATACGAACGAGTACTTGACTTTTTGTTCAACGCTGCTTTTGTCCAACCGAACTTAACTTTATACATCACAATCTTATGACTTTCGCGAAATATTATATAGGGATATTACGCATGATTACTCACAGTTTAAAAAGGCGATATTTCAACGAGCTGTGGCAGACGCGAGTAATTCCGTGAATCCCTGAACAGTAACTCCGTGAACAGCCACCAAAACGTCAAATATTATAACAAGCAACACCCATAACCTGCCTTCAAATTAGAGTAGCTTTAAGCATTTTGGGAGAGGTTACACACCTAACACCTCCAATGTACACAAGCTCGGTTCAGAGAACTTCCCTGTTTGGGTGGCCGAACTGCATTGTGAAAGTCGAGCGCTCTGAGCTTTCCCTTGGGGGCTAAAGAACGCGTAATTATTGGTTCACTTAGAAACAGAAAAACACTGTAGAGAAACGAACAGCTACATGGTTCATCGGCCAGAGTGGAAACAGACAACGCTGCACCGTGAGACACTCAGTCTCCTTGAACATAAAATTGCCCGAAATACCGAACAGGCCAGCGCACTGGCTTGCCCACACCAAACAAGCTTGGCTGAAACTCGGCTTAGAGCCGGTTTTAAAGCTAGAAAAAAAGCTGTCAAAAAGCCAAGCCAGAAAACACTTTTGGCCAAGCCCAGCCAAGTCATTAAGCCAGAACTGCGTAGGCGTGCTGGCCGGGCAAACAGCAAACTGGTAGGTATATGTGAGCAACGTTTCTAGATACTAAACGGCACCATGAGGAAGCTTTCGCCCCGCTTGTTTTCTTTACTACTTTGGAACATGTGTGATGGCATTTTATCCCAAGGCGAGCTTGTTGCTGTATTTTTGGGGGTTGGCGCGCGAGGTTTGTTAATGCTGGCGGACGGTGGAGCATAATATGTTACTCTATGGGTGGAGTGCGTGCATGATTGCCGAGGTGTGTAGCCCTGCCGTGCCGTCAGGAGGAAACTGCCGAACACTTGATAATGTTCTGTAAAGGGCTTCATCCTATAGTTCAGGGTGATGGCACAGAGTTTTTCAAATCACTGGGGTTTTGGGGCAGGGAGGGCAAAATAGATTTTAAGCGGGTAGAAATAACTAGGAGGAGGTTATCTGATTGGTGGCTAAAGTCAAGGCACGAGTGAAAATTAAATCCTTCACTGCAAAGTACTAGTCATCAACTTCAATATTTAAACAACAACAAAAAAGATTGGTTTTTGTTCAAAGTATTACCACAGAACACCTACCAGTTTGATATTACCTAGCTTGTTCGTTTTTTGTATTACCTCTATTTATTTTATTTCTAATCTATCGTTTACCGATTGTTTCTTTGTTTAAACATCCTTATCTAAAATAATCCGGTTGGTAAAACCATTCCATCTCACAAATGAGCACCGTCCGTTTCATGGCCGATCCCCCGTGGTGGGTTGCGCCAGGACTCTGAGGAACAACCAACCAATGGTACGGCTAGGTGGCGTTAGCTGCCGCCTGAATTAAATGATACTGCTTGTTTGAACGACTGCCTGAGCAAATAATCTCAGGACTTCAACAAGCAGTACCTTGGCAGCCCATTGCTCCATGTGTGGCTGCGCCCCGCTCTTTCATGAATGCAAGATACTCTCAAGCTATCCTAACAAGACAGAGCTCGATTTTAAGTAGGCTTTTCATAACGAGACGAAAGGGAACATGTGCGTCAGTGAGCCTTCACTCGCCCTCCAGGAAAAAGAGATAATGGTTTTGAGTAGTTAACTTGCACATTTCGACTCGTGGCAGATTCGCTTTTGCCTTTCACTGTTAGGTTCTTGTTTTCTGTTTTCAGCTATATATTTCCATGTGTAATAAATTTACACACTGCTGTTTGTCAGCGCTTGTGTCGTGTGTTCATTCTTTCTACGTCCCGTTTTTTGCGCTTTTCCTCTCAGAATAACCATTTTTACCAGCATGTGAAGGTAGGATGTAGTATGTGATGTCAAATACAGAGTGGTATGCATTCACAGGTCTGACACAGTCTCTCATTAAATAATGTTTGACCCTTCGAGGTGTAAAACATCGGTATGCATTAAGAGTGTTTCATTTTCGATGTCTCTCTGTATCCTGGCTGTTCTCTCTGTGCTGCACCATCTAAATAAAAAAATTTGACAGATGTTTAGCAGTATGTCTGAAAACATGCCTGGCAAGCAATTTTCCATCAACAAAAGGAAGGATACAGTTACAGAGCATGTGCAGAGGTACAAAAATGTGAAGGATGCTTGAGCTTCGCCTTCAAGAGCAGAACACGATAGAATAACCACGTCTTGCATGCATTGCCCTCTCAATAGCTGGCCTGCATTGGTTCTCTGTGCATACCTCAGCCGTGCTGTAAGTAAACGATCGAATGACTGTGCCAGTGATGGAAGTGACGTTTTGATTCCTGGAGTAGGAGAAATGCTGCTTTGGAGCAGAAAACAATCCTGAAGCAGCTATTGGTGTTTTCGGAAGAGATAGCAAAATATTACAAACGATTCCTAGAGTTTAATGCATCATTTAAGCCTCTTATATATCATACTATGTATTATTAAATATATTACACACATTATTCACTGTGAATTGCAAGAATCATAATTAGGCAGATGGATAGTCATTGAACACTGTGTTGTTTTCACATTTTGCAAACGTTAGCAGAATTGAAATTTTTGAGAAATAAAATAAGCTAAATAAATTGAAATTTAAAATGCTTGTTCTTGTGACACAAATGAGGTCAAACCTGATAAACATGCTAAATGTAATCAGTCACAAGTCGGAGTTGTCACAGCACCGGCTAGTATGACTAAGAAGTCTCGCACCAATTTCATCAAGATAGTCTGCTGGTAAGGTACAAATATACAACTACATCATGCATATAAAGAAAATGCGAATATATGCAGCATTGTCAATATTCTAATATACAGCTACTATACAAGCTGCATAGTAAATGACAGTATACAGCTTGCTTTTGTTTTCATTTAGGCTCTGTGGATTATCACATGCTTTAACCTCATTGTTTCTAGTTTCACAATTGTCATTTCGAAGCAGGTTCAGAACAGTTACTGACAAATACTACACTTTGAAGCAGCATTTCTATTTTAGTGCAATTAGAGCAGCACTTCCATCGCACGTAACATTGGCCATTTCGAAGCACCCTTGAATGCCTACTACAAGCACAGTTAAGTGCGCTTAGTCTTTTTGTGAATCAACAAAGGCCCCACCAAGTGTCGGTAGGGCAACACTCAAATCTATACACCTGCGTGTTCACTTTGTTGATGCTTATACTGTTGATGATAATTAAATACGTCTGAGCACTTTCTAATGGGTAAGCCTTTAACACAACCACTCGTCGCACAGTTCATACGTTTTAACGCCTGGTGCAATTGTACGCTTCCGCCACACATGATGCGTTAAGGAGACTCCTTCCATTACATAACATTCATATAGTCTCTTTTTCAAAGAAGCTTCAAGGAATGTCATGGCTCTCTTGTAAAACACCTTCTTTGTCCACGCGGAGAGCCTGTCTTTTATTCTCACTCCGACCAAGAAATTTTTATTATTTACTTTATTTGTATATTTCTTCGATTTTTCGGTCATAGACAAGATGATTTTGTGCTCACAACCAACGGATCTGACACTGGAATTTCTGCAAAACAAGCTTTTTACACTATAGAGTTAAAACATCAATTGAAAATATGAAACCGGGCTCAGTGTTCCAGACAAATTACTGCGGAGAAGCCCCCTTTTGGTGCAAGGAACGAGGCAAAAAAACGCAAAGCTTGCCACATGCTACCTTAACTCAAGAGAGCACCAAGCAAGGCCTCAGTGAGACAACCTTAATAAGGCACATCACAGAATACACGATAAGGTGTCCTCAAACAGTTATGGCTTTCTCACTAATGTAAAAAGTATGTCTGAGTACAGGCCTCCTTTCAACATTAAAGGATTGCGAATGTAAAACAGTGAATCAGTTTGAGAAAGCAATCTAGAACCTTACTCACCTTCATTTCATGGCAATATGTTTTTGGGAAAGAAGAATGGTACACATTGTGTTTTAACTTTATGCCAAAAAATACCATTTGTTCAGCGATCCCAAAACCATGTCCAGGAGCTTATAAATTTTGTTGCAGTGGTAAAACAGGTGACGCACTGCAATGTAAGTTCGTTTTCTGAAATTTTTGCCTTCACTAAAATACAGGCGACAGGCTATTATAAGCACTTTTTAACAGATGATGGACCTCAAAAGCCCAGAAGCAAGACCATACTAGCCAATTATTTTGGTATAAATTCTGTGGGAATTGAGGCACATTCAAAAGATTTGTCCCGACTTAAGACCAAAGTGCGAGCAAGTAAATGCTTTGAACAAGCATGGGATTCAAAAGTAAACACACTATCAAAACAACACCAATGGGTTGTCTATATCCTAAGTTTTTGAGCAATGAGTGTCACTAGGAAATGGTAATAAAGAATAAAGGTAATAAAGAATACAGTGTACTTAGCTTCCGACACACGCAAGTAGGCATTGCATTAATCGATATAACAGTAATGACCTCTACTACTTGCACAACAAATAGAAAAGAAGTGCCTTTAAAGCCTTCACTACTACACAAAATGCACAGAGCACAGTCACTGCCTGTCAACAGTATATTTACAAGAATGAGAAGCAAGTTGTTTATTTTAGAGCAAGAAACTCTTTTACATTAGGAACATATTATTAAGTTGTTTGAAGTTCAAGGGTAAGCAAGACTTGAGAAAATACACGACGTCATCAACATGCTTCATGTGCACGTGTGCTACTCATCGTGCAGGACATTTACCGCAGGACGTAACATTTACCGCAGGACGTAACAGGTTCACTCTTGCTGGTCTCTCGTTGGTGAGCTGTGGCTTGTCACCTTTCCATGCAGTTTGGCAGCTGGATTTGTCAATAAGGGACAGTTAGTGAAGTCAATCTCAGAGTTTGCAGACTGTACATGGCACTGAATTGTGTTATGATGTAAGTTGTGTAATGCCAGCCACTGTTTACGCATGCTTTCAGTAAAGAATGCACAAAATAATTAACAAGGATATAAAAGGCATTTTAAGTAAAAAAAACTACAATACATTTTAGCAATACAGTGAAGCTTGTGCAACAAATTGAGTCAAAACACAAGCTCGGAAGGTCACTACAGTTGGTGTCAACTTTTTGATGTCATGGTTGCGCACTAAAAAACCTGTCTCATGCATACATAATAAGTTTAGCGAGAATAATGCTATGAGCATTCTTTTTCAGATGTATGTGGCAAGGCAACCCAAACGGCCATCGAAACTTTGTCTTGCAAGGGACATACATGGTTTTGCAAACCCAGTAACACAAGTTTGCATGAAATGAGCTGGCAGCTCATATGAAACTATATAGAGACTGTTTTTCTTATTCAATACAGATTTTAAAAAGATGTTATGACTGCCAGGCCTCTGTCATTTTTGCGAATGAACTCTTTGTTGAGGTGCAGAAGCTCTACTGCAGACAAAATTACAGTCAAATGAGCAGTTTTCAAAAGCTCCGTAGTTTTTTAATTATTAACTT